AACCTCATATGTTACGCGAGCTGGCAGAACAATCAGAAAGCCTCAAGGATTATATCTAACTTATAGCTATGTTCTACTTCACCATTTTGTTTTTGTTATATTTCATTGTTCTTTTATTTAAAAGAGAAAGGATGTAGCAATATGTTATATGCTGTGTATGGCCTCTAGGGGTCTCACTACTTAGATACTGGTACAACTGTGTTATTGCCTCTCTTTGGTTGTAGTTCTAAAGCAGACACATGTATAATGGCAGCTAGGAGCACCTAATAAAATGTCTGCTACTAACTACAGTGTGTGAGCACCTGAGCAGGATCGACTAACAGAACAATTGCTGCAATTTTTTATGTCACATGGTATTTACGCAGTGGTTTTTCAAACACAATTTTGTTGGAAAAAATACACTTAATTAAAGAAAAAAAGCAAAACACTATATATATATATATATTTATATATATATATATGTGTATATTGTGACCGTAGGCAGGTAAAATCACCTGGTTGCATCCAGGATGGCAGGTACAGTACATTTGTCCGAGATTCAGGCTCTATGTGGATTTGTTCCAATAGGGGGGAAGTGCTGAGCCCTTCAGCAGTGAGGTAATGAGCCCAGCTGAAGCAAGTGGGCTCATTAGGGCCTCTATAAAACTTCCCAGCCTGCAGAGGGAGCTGCTTCATCCTGAAACCAGATCTGTGCCTGAGTAGACTGGGGAGCGCCATATCTGTCTGTGCGGTAAGAGAAACACCTGTGTGGCCAACCTCTAAATAACAGGGAGATAGGGACTGGGTGTAGCACAAGGCTGCACCTAGTTGATAGCGAGGGAAGCTGTGCATATAGTAAGTGGCCAAGTTGGCAAGGATTTATTTTCAAGTTTCTTTTTGTTTTGATGTTTTTTCCTCTTGTAAATAGTGTAAATAAACAGCACCTTGGTTTTCTCACCTAAACTTCTGTTTTGCTGTGCTTGTTTTGTGTGTTGTGAACTCATGCAGGGGAATCACACACCTGCTGCCGAGCTAACCCCGTTACACATGGTGGAGGAACGCGGGCAGTTTGTGGTAAATAAAGGCCAGCATGGAGGAGATAAGACAGATAGCTCTAGCAAATGCTCTAGCAAATGCCTATCAACAACCAACTAATGCAAGTCTCCAGAGCATTGCAGCCCAGCAGCAAGCCCTGGAACAAGTGGAGGCCTGCCATAGGGAATTGCTGGCTCAGCAGGAACAGACACCAGCAACAAATTGAGGCAGTCATGAAGCAGCTCCAGCAGAGGCAGCAGACTGAGGCTGGGAGTGATTCCAGTAATACACCATCATTTTGTGTGGGCCGTTTATTGCCAAAAATGACTGGAGAGGATGATCCTGAGGTGTTCTTAACCACATTTGAATGGACTGCTGAAAGGGAAAAGTGGCCTAAGGAGCAGTGGGCTGGACAGATGACCCTATTATTAGCTGGTGGCCTAAGGAGCAGTGGGCTGGACTGATGGCCCCATTATTACCTGGTGAGTCGCAGAAAGCTTATTATGACCTGGAGCCTGACCAAGCAAAAGACTATGATGTGCTGTCCAGGCTCAGCATGTGCATAATTGGACTTTTCGGCTTGGGAAACCCCCCAGGTTGCAGATGTATGATCTCATTCACCTGAGCAGGAAATGACTGCAGCCAGAGACTTTGACCGCACCAAAAATTGTGGAACGTATGGTTATGGATCTGTTCCTGAGATCTCTTCCTAATGCCATTCAAAGGTGGGTCAGCCATGGAGACCCAGAGACAGCGGACAAGCTTGTGTCTCTAGTTGAGAGGTATGTGGCTACGGAGGACGTGACCTCTTCCAGAGACTCATGGACTTTCCACCCTAAGACCAGACCATCCCCAGCGGCAGGTAAGATGATACCAAGGGGTGAGGTGGAGAGAGTGAGAGGGTGGGAGTCTTACCCAATGTCTGGGGAGAGCGGCCGGGAAGGTCAAGGCCGCAATAGGTTATTTGCTACCACTGCTGACAAGAGGGACATATTGCAACCAAATTGCCCATTGGGCCAATGCAATGTCACTTTCCGTAGGGACAGACGTTAGTCGCTGTTTGCGACAGTCGCATGCACTGCCAGCCAGGGATCCAAGAAACATTTATGTAAAATGTCTTTCAATGGGAGTAATGTTGTTGTGTTGCTGGATTCAGGTAGCCTGGTAACATTGATAAAAGAGGAGTTAGTCACTACAGAGGTCTCTGGGCATAAATAGGTGGCTGTTATTTGGTGCATGGGGACACCAGAGAGTATCCAGTGGCAACCGTGTCTTTTGGGACCGAACAGTTAAAAGACCCCACACTGATAAAAGCCCAGGAAAATGTGATAAAATAGATGGCGAACTAGTGAACCCAGATAAGACTTGTGCTTATCCGTACTTCCTTTTGGAAAGGGACCTACTATATCGAGTTGCTCAAGGGGCGGAAGAAACCATTGAGCAACTGGTGGTGCCCAAACCTTACAGGAAGTTGGTGTTGGAGTTGGCCCATGGACACATCCTTGGAGGTCATTTTGGGTGCAGAGAAAACACAAGAAAGAGTATTGCAGAGGTTCTATTGGCCTGGGGTCATTAAGGAGATAGAAAATTACTGTTCCTCCTGCCCTGTGTGTCAGAAGTCGGCCCCTTTGCCCCATTTCCGTAGTACACTCGTACCTCTTCCATCATTAAGGTTCCTTTTGAGAAGATCGCAATGGGTTTGGTATTCTGGTGAAGTCCACTAGGGGGCATCAGTACATGTTGGTCATACTAGACTATGCCACCCGCTATCCAGAAGTGATTCCGCTCCTAAATACCTCTGCCAAGACAATAGTTAAGGAGCTATTTCTCGTTTTCAGCCGAGTGGATATTTCAAAGGAACTGCTTACGGACCAGGGTACCCCCTTCATGTCCCGGGTGATAAAAGAACTGTGCAAGTTGTTCAAAGTAACACAATTGCGCACCTCTGTGTATCATTCCCAAACAGAGGGGTTGGTTGAACGGTTCAACAAAACCCTCAAACAAATGTTAAGGAAGGTGGTGGATAAAGATGGAAAGGGTTGGGATTATCTAATACCCTATTTGATGTTTGCCATCCGGGACGTACCCCAGTCCTCTACAGGTTTTTCACCTTTTGAGTTGCTCTATGGGAGACACCCAAGAGGGCTGTTGGACATTGCCAAGGAAACTTGGGAAAGTGAGAGTTCTCCCCACCGGAGTGTGATTGAGCATGTTGCCAAAATGCAAGATAGAATTGCACAGGTAATGCCCATCGTAAAAAAAACATTTGGCCCAAGCGCAGTTAGCGCAGCAGAGGGTGTACAATCGGGGGGCCCAGACCCAGTCATTTGCCCAGGGAGATAGAGTACTATTGCTAATCCCTACAGTTGAAAGCAAATTCCTGGCCAAATGGCATGGCCCATATGAGGTAATTGAGAAAGTGAGCAAGGTTGAACTACAGGGTCCGACAACCAGGAAGGCGAAAACCTGAACAGATATCACATTATTCTGTTAAAGGCCTGGAGGGACAGGGAATCCCTAGTCGCAGAGGCTTTGTCACCAGCTCAATCTGACTGCTTGGTTCTTGAGGTTGGAATAGCAGTCACTCTATCTAAACCCCAACAACAGGAAGGTAAAGAGTTTGTGCTCCGCAACACAGAAGCTTTTTCTGAGCTGCCGGGACAAACCTCTGGGGTGGAGCATGACATTATCACCCTGCCGGGTGAAAGAGTGAAACTAAAACCCTATAGAATCCCAGAGGCCCGTCGGGAGGCAATACATGGGGAAGTACAGAGAATGCTGGATTTGGGGGTGATAGAGGAGTCCCAGAGTGACTGGTCCAGCCCCATAGTGTTGGTGCCCAAACCGGATGGGAGCTGGCGGTTTTGTAACGATTTTCAACAGTTAAATAAAGTTACAAAATGTGACACCTATCCCCATGCCATGGATAGATGAATTAATCGACCCACTGGGAGCAGCCCGGTACATGGCAACACTCAATTTGACCAAAGGATATTGGCAGATTCCCTTAGCTGAGTCAGCGAAGGAAAAGACTGCATTTGTAACCCTGAAAGGGGCATTCCAGTATAGAAGAATGCCGTTCGGGTTACAGAATGCACCGGCCACCTTTCAGCAAAATATGTATCAGATTCTTTGCCCCAATCAGAAGTATGCTGCATCTTACCTAGACAATGTGATTGTCCATAGCACAGTTTGGGCCTCATATTTGCCAAAGGTTCAAGCTGTATTGGATTCTATACGGAAAGCTGGGATTACAGCCAACCCAAAGAAGTGTACTATTGGACAGGAAGAGGCCAGGTACCTTGGGTACACAATTGGGAAAGGTGTAATAAAACCCCAAATCAAGTTGAAACGATACAGAGTTGGCCACGTCCAAACAACAAGAAGCAGGTACGGGCCTTTCTAGGAATTGCTGGCTGCTATCAGTAATTCATTCCCCATTTTGCTTCTCTGGCAGTGCCCCTAACCAACTTGACAAAAGGGAAGGAGTTGGTCATGGTTAAGTGGTCCCCGGAGGCTCAAGCAGAGTTTCAGTCTTTAAAAAGGGCCTTATGTAGCCAGCAAGTGCTATACTCACTGGACTTCTCAAAACAGTTTGTGGTCCAGATGGATGAATCTGATGTGGGCTTAGGAGCAGTGTTGTCCCAGGTTTGGAAGGGGGAGGAGCACCCGGTAATCTACCTCAGCAGAAAGCTAAAATCTCAGGAGGAAAATTACGCCACGATTAAGAAGGAGTGTTTAGAGGTAAAGTGGGCCCTAGATTCCATTCGGTACTATCTGCTAGGCAGACATTTTGACCTGATCATGGATCACGCTCCCTTAAAATGGATGGCTCAAAATAAAGAGACCAATAGAAGGGGCACCATCATTGGTGTCAGTGGGAGGAATAGCGCTCCATCATTGGTATCAGTGGGAGGAATAGCGCCCCATCATTGGTGTCAGTGGGAGGAATAGCGCCCCATCATTGGTGTCAGTGGGAGGAATAGCGCCCTATCATTGGTGTCAGAGAGAGGAATAGCACCCCATCAGTGGTATCAGTGGCAGGAATAGCGCCCCATCATTGGTGTCAGTGGCAGGAATTGCGCCCCATCATTGTCAGAGGGAGGAATTGCGCCCCATCATTGGTGACAGTGGGAGGAATTGCGCCCCATCATTGGTATCAGTGGGGAGAATTGCGCCCCATCATTGGTATCAGTGGGGGAATAGTGCCCCATCGTTGGTGTTGGGGGAATAGTGCCCCATCGTTGTGTGTGGGGGAGGAGGAATAGTGCCCCATCGTTGGTGTCAGTGGGAGGAATAGTGCCCCATCGTTGGTATCAGTGGGGAGAATAGTGCCCCATCGTTGGTGTCAGTGGGAGGAATAGTGCCCCATTGTTGGTGTCAGTGGGAGGAATAGTGCCCCATCATTGGTATCAGTGGGAGGAATAGTGCCCCATCGTTGGTATCAGTGGGGAGAATAGTGCCCCATCGTTGGTATCAGTGGGAGGAATAGTGCCCCATCGTTGGTATCAGTGGGAGGAATAGTGCCCCATCGTTGGTGTCAGTGGGGGAGGAATAGTGCCCCATCATTGGTGTCAGTGGGGGGAGAATAGTGCCCCATTATTGGTGTCAGTGGGGGGAGAACAGTGCCTCATCGTTGGTGTCAGTGGGGGGAGGAACAGTGCCTCATCGTTGGTGTCAGTGGGGGAGGAACAGTGCCTCATCGTTGGTGTCAGTGGGGGAGGAACAGTGCCTCATCGTTGGTGTCAGTGTGGAGGAGGAATAGTGCCCCATCGTTAGTGTCAGTGGGGGAGAGGAGCGGCTGCTCCTTCTTCCAGTTCGGCCGCTCGATTTTCGCGGTGATTTGTCGCCTGTGTGCCTTTGTGCCTTTCCAGTGCTGGCGCCCAATCACCGATGAGGAGGCGGAGCCGAGCGGCCGCGTGACCATCGAGCAGCCGAACTGAAAGAAGGAGCAGCCGCGCCTCCTGGACCGGATCGTCGTGGGACCGGAGCCAGGTAATGTACAGCAGCCCCTCTGCCCAGCCCCTCTACTTGGTGTCCGTTGGGGCGGGGGGGGGCGGTGCCGCCCCTCGAAAAAGTGCCACCCTGACACCCGGCTCGCACCGGTGTATAAGACGGACTTTTATTTTAGGGGTTGAAAAGTCGTCTTATATAATATATACGGTATATATATATATATATATATATATCAATTTTTTTATAAAATATGAAAGATGATGTTAAAGCAAGTAAATGGCTCATGAGTAAATTTTTTGCTTTAAAAAAAATAGTTTACATCCGTCCCAGACAGGAAGTGATGTTATGAGATTGCTGTGGTCCTCCAAGGCCATAGAGGTGCTCAGAGGCAATTGAGTCTCTCATCGCCTCTGTGAGCAGTCGGCTGCACAGTTGGCTAATTTCTCGGGCACTCTGGTCGAGGAACACTGGCGAGCGGCGGGGGGGGGGGGGTTGTCTTCTCCCATCACTACAGAAAACAATCCAGTGGCTAATGAGCGGCTCCGATCGCTTTCATGAGAGAAGCGGCTGAAAAAAAAAAGATCCCAGAGTTATGGCTGATAGCTTCAGCCATAACCCCGGTAAACCATCCTGCAAACCACAATGTATATAGAGTGGATACACTAAATTCTGTAAAAATCAAGTGCGAGTATATGCAGTGCAATACACCCATATAACACAGAATATAATAGCAAAACTAGGACCATCCCTTATAGTACACTCAACATGTCTATCAAAGCCAGAACTATTTAAAAAAAACTACAAGCAAAGTTGCTGCAAAAGGGAACAGAAAGAACTCGGCTTATGAAGAAGTCCTGAAATTCAGCACAGCATTTAGAGTCATACCAGGGCTGCATGTAATACGCCTCTTTCACATGTCCATTCATGGATGAAAAATGGACAGCAATGCATTCCTATGGGCAAACGAATGTAAACAGATGATCATCATATCCGTTTACATCCACATCTGCTCAGGTCTGTTTTTTTTAAAATGGAACAAGTCTCTATTCTAAGTAGACCTAAACAGATGTAGACAGTCGGTTTTTGCATTGGTTGTTAGTAGCTGGCACCCGCTGATAGCAGAATGCAAACAAAAGATATCAGAAAAAAAAAATGCCAGACTGAATGCAGCGATGGTGGGGAGTTGGTGTGCACAAAGAGAGGAGCAGTGTTTACAATGAGGGGGCATTGTGTACATTCAGGCTCCCTCACTTGCCCGCTCTGAATGCAATTGTCGGTTCCTTTGTTTACTATAGCGCTGCAGATGGAGCTGTCATTCCGCCACCACCAATGTAAACAAAGGGCCAGGGCAACCCAGTGATGCCACTGGGTGACCCAACCCTTTTTTTTTCTGTGGTGGAGTCATCCGGTGACATCACCAGGTGACCCCTGCCCTTTGTTTACTTCTGAATTACAGCTCCTTTTCTGGCACTAAAGTAAACAAAGGTGCTGGCAATTGCATTCAGAGCCGAAAATGACATGTAGAGCTGGAAAGTGAGAACATGTATGTACACACTGCCCTCTCACTGTAACCACTGCTCCTCTCCTGCCTCTCTCCTTGCACACACACTGCCATCCCACTTCTTCCATAACGAGGACCTATCACCTATATGCTATCACATAGGGAACTATTGGTCCCCTATGTAATAGCAATAAAGTCATGTGTTAAAAAAAAAATTAAAACCATTTAAAGTGACATATATATACTATATAAAAAAAAAAGGGCCAGGAAAGAGACTTTTATCTCTGGTAAAGTCAATGAAAAGCTCAGCACCAGAAGTGAGAGCCCAGAAGGTCTAAGGATAAACATAATAGTAATGTGTAAAATGCAGTAGTCCACAACAATTAATCAAATCACAGTGTAAAGGGTTTGCAGATTTCAAGGTCAGCTGATTTATCTGCAATATTCAGAATATGCAGAACATGCCATATGAATAGTGATAAACTGATTTGGCTATAATGGATTGGACATTTGCCAATTGCAATTTGATCAGCTCAACGAATGGGTAAAGCATCCTGGAACTCTTTGACAATCTCTTAGGGCTAATTGGTACTTCTGCCTGGCAGTACTAGGGTCGTTGGTTCGAATCCCAACCACGGCACCACCTGCCTGGAGTTTGCATGTTCTCCCTGTGCCTGTGTGGGTCTCCTCTGGGTACTCCGGTGTCCTCCCACACTTCAAATACATGCTGGTAGGTTAATTGGATCCTGTTTAAATTGGCCCTAGTATGTACAGTTGTGTTCAAAATAATAGCAGTGTGTTGAAAAAAGTGAATAAAGCTCAAAATCCTTCTAATAGCTTTTATTTCCATACACACAAATGCATTGGGAACACTACACATTCTATTCCAAATCAAAACATGAAGAAAAATATATCAAATATGTGTTGTTCCTCTAAAAAAATTGAAGAAAAGTGAATATTAAACTGTTCAAAAAAATAGCAGTGTTTGTATTCTTCTTTACAAACTCAAACATTCACTATATAAACTGAAAAATGTTTGAAGATTTTGCTTTCCTTTGAATCACTTAATGAATATTTAGTTGTATAAGCACTGTTTCTGAGAACTGCTGTACATCTGTGTTGCATGGAGTCAACCAACTTCTGGCACCTGTGAACAGGTATTCCAGCCCAGGATGATTGGACTACATTCCACAGTTCTTCTCTATTTCTTGGTTTTGCCTCAGAAACTGCATTTTTGCTGTCACCCCACAAGTTTTCTATTGGATTAAGATCCGGGGATTGGGCTGGCCACTTCATACCGTCAATCTTGTTGGTCTGGAACCAAGATGTTGCACGTTTACTGGTGTGTTTGGGGTCGTTGTCTTGTTGGAACACCCATTTTAAGGGCATTTCCTCTTCAGCATAAGGCAGCATGACCTCTTCAAGTATTCTGATGTATTCAAACTGATCCATGATTCCTGGTATGCGATAAATAGGCCCAACACCGTAGTATGAGAAACATCCCCATATCATGATGCTTGCGCAACCATGCTTCACTGTCTTCACAGTGTACTGTGGCTTGAATTCAGTGTTTGGGGGTCGTCTGACAAACTGTCTCCGGCCACTAACCCAAAAAGAACCCATCAGTCCACCAAAATGTTGCGCTATTTCTCTTTAGGCCAGTCAATGTGCTCTTTGGCAATTGTAACTTCTTCAGCACGTCTTCTTTTCAACAGTGGGACTTTGCGGGGGCTTCTTGCAGATAGCTTGGCTTCACATAGGTGTCTTCTAATTGTAACAGTACTCACAGGTAACTTTAGACCTTCTTTGATCTTCCTGGAGCTGATTGTTGGCTGATTGAGTTCTTGCCATTTTGGCTATTCTTCTATCCATTCGAATGGCAGTTTTTTTCGCTTTCTTCCACGTCTTTCAGGTTTTGGTTGCCATTTTAAAGCATTTGTGATCATTTTAGCTGAGCAGCCTATCATTTTCTGCACTTCTTTATGTTTTCCCCTCTCCAATCAACTTTTTAATCAAGGTACGCTGTTCTTCTGAACAATGTCTGGAACGACCCATTTTCCTCAGAATTTCAGAGAGAAATGCACTGTAACCAGCATGTACAACATTTGCTGCCTTCCTTCCTTAAATAAGGGCAATAATTGCCACCTGTTTTTCAAAGAATGAATGACCTCACTAATAGAACTCCACACTTCTATTATTTTGAACATGCCCCTTTCAATTAGTGATTCAATTACACAGAATCAGCAGCATGCATGTCATGACTGTTGGGTCTGCTGGATTTTTATTACTCTACTACACCTGCTAGTAAATTATTTGCCATGTAGAAATATCATTTCTACCAAAAACAGTGATTGATCAGGTTAGTGATGTCTGACTGCTATTATTGTGAACACAACTGTATGTATGAATTCTGAGTTCGGGACCTCAGATTATACCCCCCTTGAGGTTAGGGACTGATGTGAATGTAATATATATATATATATATATATATATATAATATAGCGCTGCATACATTGACTGTGTATATACAGTAAGTACCTGTAATAAATAAATAATAATTCACACTATGCATGGTGACTGGCAGCTCTCTGTTCCAATAGGAATTCATCTTTACACTTGAGCGTCATGTTTTTATGCATTGTGCACGTTCTGTCTTGCGTTTTTACACGATTTCTTAATGTTTGGGCTTCAGGCATTTTTGTATTAGTATATAGAGAACAGTATCATCTGTAACATCATTTGTTGCCACATGGGCAAATCAGCTTATAAACATGCAGCAAAACAAAAGTGTTGTCCATTTTTGGCACACACCATGCAACTGTATGGGATGCAAAATGCACTAA